TCGACAGCTGAAGGAAATACTTGCGTGTAATTTTGTCAACTACTCAGGATGCTGTGAAAAATGGGAACTTGTGGAAAAAGTGAGCAGACTATACAGAGAGAGTGAGGAGAACCACAAGACACGTAGGTTTACATTTAATTCTCACTTTCTTAAGACTACTTATTTTCTGGTTTCCAGTAGCTGGTTCTGCCAACTGAAGGACTTGGTATCTAGTTTGGTCTGCTCAGCTGGAACAACTGGAAGGTGTGTTTTAACAACTCAAGCTGCATCTAGAGTAGTTGAACATGGTTCTAGTGAGTAAATGAAGCTTTCCAGGATTGTGCTGGTTTTTTGAGACTTCTTTCCCAAGCTCAGAGAGCTCAGCTTTCACGGTGAAGGTAAAATTGCACAACTGAGAACCACTTCCTCGGAGAACATGAAACTTGGCAGCTCCGTGTCCTTTATTAGGTTTCACAAGGTATTAGCGAGAGAGCTTCTCAGTAGCTGTCAACGGACCAAAGCAATTCAGGTCTCTTACTGTGGTAGAGAATTAAAAGCTACGGTGGCAGAAGTCCAAGTTGAAGTGGTTTGGTCTCGGTCCATGTTTTCATGGTAAGGCGGTTCTGTGGCTGCAGCTCAGTGACTAGTATTCTTCTGCCCTCTGTTACACTCAACAGTTGGAGTCTTTCACTGGCGTGGTTGCAGCATACCCACAGACCGATCCCTGTTCACAAAGTATAATCTGAGGAGCAACTTTTTGATGTCTTTACCAGCTTGGAAAATGCCTGCCTGCCTCTTCATTCCTGCATCCAGCAGTCGGGCTGGAAAGAACAGGGGACTGTGGTGACCGGAAAACTTATTAGCCCTGGGCCACTTCACAGCCAGATTATGCCAGCACATACACTGCGGGGACTGTGATCATCAGTTGCTAAATAATCAGCTAATTGGGGTGGAGGAGGATTGTGAAGGGGGGACAGTTAGTGAATGTCAAAACACAGCTTAAGTGAGACCCTCAGTTTGGTCGTAAACTAGAATTGAAAACCTGTCTGAAATCAAGCTTTAAACTTACGATTATTTTCTTTTTTCAACGTGGTCTGATGGAACATTCAGTTATTGATAGGGGATGTTGTCTATTTGCAATGAAGCTTGACAGGTTTTGTTTGGTTCTGCCATTTTTACGGCCTACTTAAGGCTTCCACTTCTTAGTCTGCTTTATTATTATTGTGTTTAATCTTGAGGAAAGTGTTCTGCCAAATGAAGTAAGCTCAGAGATGGAAAACCAACGTGCTCTGAATTTTAATCCAACACGTTATTTCACAGTCATTATGTTCTGAATTGAAAATGGTTTCCGAGTTTAAAGAATGAAGCCAAATATTGGATGTTCACTTAGAGATTTTCTAGTTCTTGTTTCTTTGGGGTGGGGTTTTTTTTTTTTTGAAGGACTATAAATTTGTATGTGTGGGTTAGAAAAACTGTTGTCAACAGGGAGCAGCACTTCTTCATGCTAAATTATCCGTCTGTGTATCTTAGTGGTTGCCTGAGCTAGGACTTAACTGCTTTTCCAGGGCCCGAATGCATGACCTCCCTCTCTGTTGGTTTTCAGAGGGCGAGAAGATGCAGCTGAACGACAACGATGATAACCTGTGTCGGATCTGCATGGACGCTGTGATCGACTGCGTCCTGCTGGAGTGCGGCCACATGGTCACTTGCACCAAGTGTGGCAAGAGGATGAGCGAGTGCCCCATCTGCCGACAGTACGTTGTACGGGCCGTGCACGTGTTCAAATCTTAAACCAAGACTAAAAATGGATTTTACAGTCATCCTTCCAGGATTTCTGTGGGCAGGAGTGCCGAACCTCGGGCCTATGTCAGCTTTTTAGTTCTTGATAAACATGTTTTGAACACCAGGATCTAGAAGTTTGTGAAACATTTTTCTACAGCGTACTGAATCCTATGGTTGGGCAGCGCAACACCATGCCTGTGCGTACAGTAATAGTGCTGCCTGGCTTCCCTTATAAACCCACAAACTGTTCGAGTCAAACTGTTTACAGCAGTTCTTGCTCTCTTCTGAAGAATATCACCTCTAATTATCGCATTCAGTGCTCAGCAAGTGGTCAGAAAACACCTTTTTGCTCGACCATATTAGCGTGTTACGTTGTCTAGTGCATTAGAAGCAAGGAATATATCAGTTGAATATTCAGCTTTTACGTAATTATAGAATGTAACTGTTCCAGCACTGTCCCTGCAACAGTGTTAACAGTATAAAATACGACTGTAGAAAGCACTGCCATTAACTGTACCTGCACGGAAGCCCTTAAGCAATCTATTTTATGCCGATTGCTTCGTTCAGAATGTCTGCTGTTACACACGTACTGTCTTGGCCATTCTTTGTAAACGTACAAAAAGCTCCGTCACTTCGCAGGGCTCAGTCGTTTCGCAGGGCTCTGCCACGTGGTGCCCAAATACCGATTACTAAGTATTTTTTAGTTTAGGAATAAAATATTTTTTTAAAAAGGGGTATAGTAAACCATATTATTGTGTCCTTAATCCACTCATGCCTATTGTAACTATTAATCTTACGTGTGATGATTGTATTCCATGTGCCGACAACCTGATGTTACTGTGAATACTAATCAGGGTCATGAAACTACTTGCTGCTAACGTGGAATGTATGGTGTTACTAACCTTAAATGGGGGTGGTGTGTGTGTGTATTAAGGGGAAGGGAAAGGAAACATGGTATTTGCTTAAAACCTCATGTTCACAGACTTTTAACCAAGGCCGAGTCACTATTAACCACGCGTCCCCTTGGCTGCTGAATGACCTGCGTTGCCATCAGCCCTTGGCCCAGTTTCCAGCTGGGCTTTGTGGCAGGGGCGAGGGTCCTCTTGGAGCAAGAATTTTAACAGTCCTCGTAGGGTAGCTGTGACAGACTGGGGAAGGTCGCGGCAAGAATGGTTCCTGTTCTGGGGACAGGCTGCCTGTGGCCAAGCCCGGTCATGACAGCGTGTGATTAAATTTGCTGCAAAAAAGGGAGAGGTGAGGAAGGACCTAGTCTGTCCTGGCTGGTTAGCCTTTAAGCAGGGTTGATCGATGAAGCTACAGTTTCTCCTTTTCATCTCCCACGTGCTAGCAAAAGTTAATGGAGACAGGGACATGTTTTGCCTCGGCTGCAGTACCTGAGAACTCTTACCTCTGCCACACTGCCACGCCTGCTCTTGTCTTTTATGTGAAAAAATTAAGCTGGCTTGAAAAAGAGAAAGTAGCTCCTCCTCGAAATAAGATACACAGCTTAGAGACATCGCTGGTTATTTTTCAGAAGGGAGCAAACCTCTTAATGGCTTTATTTTTTAGAAGTAACTAACTTTTTAATGGTACTTAATTCCTGGAGTCTCCTTTCAGCGGGTAAGCTCATGAAGAAGAACATACCCGACATGTTATTTCCATGCTGATCATTAGCCACACAAGCTTAATAAAGATTTGTGATGGGCTTCCTCAGCCTCTGTCTCTTTTCTTAACCAGCTGTGGGAGTGCTGTTGGTTACTCGGCTCAAGCTTTAACATTCTTCTTGAGATGCGTAAGCGTTCCTCTAGACGAATCTGGGCAGGTTCCAGCTCGAGGAAGGCATGTATGTATATTTTATTCCCTCCTCAGCAAAAGCGTATGGGAACATGCCAACTTAGAGGCAGGGGACAAGGAACAGGTGAAGTGCTGTGAAAGTACGAGGTGTGGCATGACGGGAAGAGGGGCTTCTGCTGTTAACCCGGCTTGCACCAAGGCTGGCGACCATCACCTGCTCCGCGCTCCGACCCAGCTGTAACCCCAGGGGCTCGCTGCAGTCACTCCGCACGCCTGAAGCCCAGACACAGCTTCCCGCCAAAACAAGCCCGCCTCGGAACAGAAACCCGCAGAGCCAGCGCCTGTTTTTGTACAATTGTTTATACAAATTCAACAAAGGTAAAACTGCATCAGGAAGGTCTACGAAAACAACACCGTACAACAATGGCACTTATGAATGCAGAATTTTACAATCAGGAAATAACCATGTTATAAACCTTAAATGAGAACTCAACTCACACTTCAAAGAAAGAGAGACTACGTTTGACCATTTATTCTACGGCTGGACTCACTGTATAAATTAATTTTATATTGAGTACAAGAGCTCATGCTACAGAGTGAAACCCTCCTATGTGCAAAAGCTGAAATTGGAATTTTTTAAAATTTTGAGAAAAAGGTGATTTCTATACAGATAAAACTTGGCAAAGTGTTTTACTTCAACTATAATTTACACCTTATTTCCACAACATGCTTATGTCACTTCTGAAGTATACAAAGCAGGATATAAACTTCCATTAAAACATGCTTTAAGTTGAAAGTATTAACCTACTTTTCCTGACCTGGGCACGTTTGTAGATAGATACTGTCTACGAAGTATAGGTTAAGTTCTCGCCTACCATAAGTAAAGATAAAAATTGGCAATCAAAACCAAAACACTGGTAATGCATTCAAACATTGCATAAATAATTTTTAAACAATTTTTGTACAAAAATAGTTCTGCATAATGTAAGATGTAACAAAACAAAACGTGTTAAGAAGGCAGAAATGCAGTGCGTGGTCCACTTTAATGACACCAACTTTTTGTTGTTGTTGTTGTTTTAAGAAATGAAAAGCAGAAATCAAATTTACACTACCAAGCACATGCTGTGGTACTTTAAATAACAGTATTTCTTGGAGATCAGTCGTCTTCCGGGTGTGAACAATTACCATCGATAACAGTCGCCTTATGAATTTGCATAAGAGCCAGTGCAGGACATCCCAGGTAGACTGAATTAGTGGCACACGTTGAAATTCTTAACATGGGTAGTTTCATGTTGTTCTCTCCTCGACAAGAGTTGTAAAATCCAATCGTGGTATTTTCCAATATTCCAAGTTCCCAGTTGAAAATAAAATCCCTACGTGTTCTTAGTCCCTGCCCCCCCCCCCGCCCCATCGTGTTTTTAGTCCCTGCCCCCCCCCCCGCCCCAGTATTTACACGTGTCCTTTAACTAACTCAGTTTTTGCAGAAGTTTTTCTTCCACTTGCCCAAACTGAACACTTACTGACATTTCCGCTATGAACTGCTCGCAGCCTTCTTTTGTCACTTGCTTGCAGTACCTCAAGTCGATCTGGCAGATGTTTCCGCAACGTTTGAAGTAAGACAGGCACTGGTCAGTAACCTTATTGCAGTCTGCCGGGGGAAAAAAACAAAACAAAACACAGAGGGGGAGAAATTTAACAGCGTGTCTCGGTTTGTTCTCCAGCACGAGGACGGTTTATCCCGACTGCGGTAGGTCCTTCTTGCTCCTCCCGTGCTGTGCCGACAGTGAAATCGCCCAGCCGGCCCCACGGCCGTTCTCTGGTCCCCGTGACTCTGTTGGGTAACTGATGAGATAAAGCAAAGCACGCCAGATGCGCAGGGCAGCAGCCTTGGAAAACCCCCTGTGGAGGATGAGTGAGGTACAACACGTGGCTCCTAAGCGGGAGGCGGCAGTCCCCTCAGCCGGTGGAGGGCCCGGGGAAAGGCTGGGCAGCTGCGGGGTTATTTACACCGGCAGCACATCCAGCTGCTTAAATGGAGCCCTGGGGGGGAGGAGTTACAGTGGGGGCAGGGGAAGAGCTGGGTAAAACCACTTCCACTGGTGAGCGTTTCACACAAGTAACACCAACAGGCAATTCCCGTCCTCCCCCCTCCCCTGCGCTTGTGTTACTTACCTGATAAATTAATTTCTGTTAATGAATCCCGCGTGGTGGTTCCAACCGCGGTCAGCAGGTTAATAGACTGATCTGTCACATGATTACAGTAACTAAGATTGAGTTTGGAGAGCAGAGGCATGTGCCTTATGATCAGCCGCAAAGAAGCATCTGTAATATCCAGGCCAGCCAAACGCAGCTCAACTATGTTCCGTAGTTTACTCCGGTTGTCGATCTGACCTGGGAAGCGGAGGCAGCAGGTCACTCCCAAAAGTCTCACCCCGAGTTGCAAACATCTGCAGATCTATATGAAATGCACTGTGACACACAACACTGCTGCCCTACGTCAACTTCAGACGCTTTTGCCTGTCTGGAGCTTTGGAGGGGACATCAGCAGGAACACTTGTCTATTTTTAGAACAGGCACGTGGACAAAGCCACCTCCTGGTTTCAAAACAAAAAGGGATGAAAGTAACTGCAGGGGCCCAGCGGAATTACAAGTCGGGAATAAGCAGTAGGCTGTGCAGTGCATGCCAGAAAGCAGATCTGATTTGCTCAAAATTTCACCTGAGCTGATATCCGGGCGAATGTGGCATGACCCACAGAACTGCTCCTTCCCTGAACTGGAAGAAAGTGTTTCCATACTCTCTAAAGTACACCCGTTGCAGCCTGAAGAGAAGAAAGTCAGACAGAAAACTAGCACAGTGGCTCAGATGACTATTCAGCAGCCAGAGAACATCACTCGTTACCCAGTGGCTTCCAGCGAGGAGGTGTTGCAAGTCACTACTTTGAACACCTCACGCGTCAGCAAAGCCCGGAACCCCGCCGGTGCTAGCTGCGGGGGTTTCTGCCCGTTTCCTCCAAGGGGGACTAGCAGCAGAACGTGCCACAGAACGGCTGGGACAGGTCTCCCGCGTGCTCCTCCCGCCTGTTACCTGGCCGGTTATCTGTGGGTGGCGACAAGAGGTCTCTCATTTGTGCGTCTTTCAGGCCTTCTGCCCACTGCACATCCAGAGTTCGGAGCAAAGGACAACTGGAACTACAAAGTGCCGACACTGCTATCCATGAGCACCCTGATAACAGCAGGTCTCGAAGACCTGCAGATACAGAAGAAGTTGGAGCATGTGGCCTACCCAGAGAGACATCCGTGGTGATCTCTGCTACCACGCACAGGTCGGGTGAAGCCCGGTGCCGCTCTGACGAACAATCCCAGCACTCCAGGGCCAAGCAGGGACCCCGTAAGCCTCCTCCTGCCCAGCTCTCCATCTCTCCCACCATCTGGAACTTCATTACTGTGGGTGAGAGCAGACCCACATCACCCCCTCCGCTAACCGCGTCAGCGCAGGCACTTCCCACAGCAACCTTACCTGTTGACGAAGACCTGCCTCAAATTAGTTTACCTAGCATGCCAAGTAGTCACAACGTAACTAATTCTGGGCCCATTTTAACCCACCAATGCTTCATTCCTGCCTATCTACTCCTCTCCTAGGATACCCGGATCCCTGCAGACGTTCCTCAGAGACCGCAGTTTAGATACAAACTGGTTTGCTAAAGTCAGTGAAGTGGTCAGAAAACATCACTTACCTGGCAGTCTGTTGATAAGCCAACTCAGCTGCTTTTTAGATATATTTGTCCAGCTAAGATCAAGGGTTACAGGCTGTCTCCTAATAATGCCACTAAGCATAAGTGGAGTGATGGATTTACAATGGTTTAAATCTATTTTGGTCCATAATCTTTTGTCACAGCACCTACCCAAAAAGAAAAAAGCCAACAGCACTTAATTTGGCACTTGTTTTGATTTCTGCAAGACTTTAAAAGGTGTCATTAAACAGTAGGGAAAACTACAGCATTTAACTGAAAATAGCAAAAATAAGGCTGAGTGACGCTAAGAAAAGCACACCGCCACACAATGTTACATAGGTTCGACGCTTCTCCATCAAATATATCATGCAATAAAGCATGGAATTATTTCCACAGAATTACAAGTGTCAACAACTTCGGATCCCATTTTAAGTCATCACAGCACTTACTAAAATCCATTTTCTAGCCTCAAGACAAGCCACACCTTCTTGCTTTACCTTTCAAATATAGAGACTGGTTTTAAACATTCCTGTCCTGATTTCCCCTGTGCTTTCCTTACTTAAAACCAGTGAATTTTGTAAAACAGATCCCCCCTCTCCTGTTCTGTGCTTTTGTGTTATTCCTATCTACGTGGCTTATGCATTTTTCCGCTCTCTTTGTGGTTCTTTACGGGCAACAAGCAAGAAGTCCTAACGAGTGTGCAAGATTCTGCATTTTCTCATTTTTCCATTAGAAAATACTGCACTTAACGTGGAAAAGGCATTTACCAGCTTTCTGTGACACCAAGAAGCCCACGGAGGAGGCACTCCACACACCACATCTTGCACTGAATTATCAACCTCTCAACCTTTCTGTCATTTCCCCAGTTTTGTTACTAGACTGTGCTAGAAAGGAGGCTCTGTTACAATTCGCCCATCTGTGTGCGCATTACAGTTGAATCCGAGATGACAGCCAACAAGAGACTTTACTGCAAGTTCAGTGAAACATCTAAGTCTGTCCACTAATGCTTCCTGCTGCCGTACAGTCACTGGCTGTGTCAACGTTCACACTCTGGTACCCTGGGCACCGAACAGGCACACTGTGAGTAAATACGATAACGAAGGATTCCTCCATCAGCTCTGCTGGTACAGAACACAGTGAACGGGATCGCTCTCCACGTACCCTCTACAGGGAAACAATCAGCACAGACCTTCTGAGGAGAACACCGAGGGCAGTGGGAGATCTTCACTATATCTCAATAGATATTTAATAGCTGAACTGAACAAACAACTGCTCTAGCAGTCAGCAAGTCCTGGGGGCAGAATGACACCAACACTTAGCATGACCTAGACTGGCCGTTCCAGCAGGCAAGAACATTGTGGTGTCTAACTACAGAACAGGCTGCTCTGAGGCATTACAGCCCCGGCAGGCTGACGCCGACGCTGAGACACACACGCAGACACACACAAAATTCCCATCAGAAATGCTGGGAACTGCTGTTTCTGACAAAGCACCGGAAGACACGCTACTTCCCTAGACACTGCTGGTCACCCCTTCTTCCTTGGGCTCAACAGAGCTTCAGTGATGACCTGCACACCTCTTTTAGGAGGCATTAGTGCCTCTGTCACCCACTTTTCTTTTGAGTCCATCCCGCTACACGTTAGACCTAGCTCGGTTTCCCATCCTCCTTACCATCTGTTCCAGGTCTTGCAAACTCTCATACAGATGCACAAGTCTCTATGACTGAGGTAGCTAAAGACAGCCATCCAGACTTCCCTCTGCATCACGTGGGCTGCCCCGTCATCCAGGGGGAGCGAGTCCGGAGGGGGGCTGATGGGAGGTGGCCGGATAACGTGCCGTTCCATCTGAATGCATTTGGGAGGAGAGAGTGAAGGCGGTGGCCGAGTTATTCCCCGAGGTGTGCTTCGCAGGCTGGGGATGAGCTGGTGCCTCAGCTCCCGGGGAGTCCCGTTTAACCCTTTGCTGAACCTATGGAGTCTCTCGCTGTTGTTCAAAGCACGCTTAGGTTCCTCGTTCTCACTCTCAGGTTCAGATTTGATGGGTTGGTGATTCTCATTGGCAAGGCTGTTCTCGGTTTTTTGGATCTCCTGGTTGAGCTCCTTACTGAGCTCCTTGCTCAGTTCCTTATTAGGAAGCCGCCTTTTCCTCCTCATCTTGAACTTCTTCTTGTCCCGGGGCTCGGTGCCCTCCGTGCTGGGACCTGCAGTGGGAGAGCTGGACCGCGACTGGTCACTATCCTTGGACCTGGGAGGTGCTTCTGGCAGGTCATCCTCTGGCTCCTGCTTGAGGCGCCGCAGGGGTTTGATCATAGCAGTTCGGTCATCTGGAGCCTTCCACGATCGCCGCTGAAAAAGGAAGAGACAAGGGCTGACTATTTGAGCAAGAAGGTACTCAGCAATACTTCACATGCTGATGCTCCACAGGCAGCCCCCTGCCGGGGGGGGGGTCAGGTTGGGCCGCCCCCCAGCACC